TTTCCTTTAAAAAGAAAATGTTAAGATATGGACCACACGAGAAAATTCACCTAGGGGAGGGTAAGGAGCAAGCAGAGGACACAAGCGCTAGAAGACTGTCGCACTACAGCCTAATCCTGTTAGCATACACCAACATGAAAGGACTGTCTGGGAGGAGCTCATTTTTACTTGAATTCCAGCAAATTGCAATCAATCTTGTAATATACATAGGGGTAGTATTCTTGTTGACTCAGGTTTAAGCCAGGAATATCCATAGGAGCCTGGAAAAAAACCCACAAACATAAGTTATATACTTACAGAACCTAAGAAAAAGTGTTAACCTTTACTTTTACTAAAAACCTACACTGGGCTAAATTGACACACGCTAATTTGATCTGAATTAGGCCTTCTCTTTGTTTAGCAAATAAGGACAGAACCTTGTGAAGGCTGCTGACTCTCCCTGGGAAATACAAAGCCAGATAGATGGACTCTGACACCCAAGCCTGAACAACTCAACCGGGACCTTCCCATATTTTTTTGCCTTTTTTTTTGGGGGGGGGTGATGAAGGTGACTGTAAAAAGTTATTTTTAAATCTTGGTCTGTAGATATTAGATTTATGAGATACAAGGCTTACAAAAAACATAGTATACAAATAAACCAGGCATGGAGCTGGTGGCGCATGCCTTTAGTCCCAGCACTCAGGAGACAGAGGCAGGCAGATCTGTGAGTTCAAGGCCAGCCTGGTGTCCACAGTGAATCCAGGTCTCCAAGTCAGCTGTGGCTACAGGGAGACCAAGCAGAGTTTTAAAGATTCCAGTTTTTTCTTTGTCTTTTTTTGAGACAGGGTCTCCCTGTAGCCCCAGTTGTAGACCAGTCTAGCCTTGGACTCACAGAGATCTGCCTACCTGCTGGGATTAAAGGCTTGCACCACCATGCTGGGTTATAAATTACCTTGTAAGAATTTACTTGGAGGAATGTGAACATTAAGAGTTTGGAGCCCGGGGCTGGAGAGGCTGCTCAATACTTAAGAGCAGTGGCTCTTGCAGAGGATCCAGGTTCAGTTCCCAGCACCCACATGGCGGCTAACAACAATCCATAACCTCAGTTTGAGGGGATCCAATGCCCTCTTCTGACCTCTGCGGGCACTGCATGGCAGAGGTGCACTTGCACACATGCAGGCAATACACTCATACACGCAAAATAGAAATAATTTAAAAAAGTTAGAAGATGGGCATTGTGGCACACACCTTTAATCCCAGCACTCAGAAGAGAGGCAAGTGCATCTCTGGGAGATTGAGTCCTACCTGATCAATACTGACAGTTCCAGACCAGCTGGGCTACAGGGAGTACAGGGAGACCCTGTCTCAAAAAGACTCCACTTCCCTCAAAAAATGCCAGGAATTATATTTTCTCCATAATTTCAGGAAAAGACAGCAAGTCATTTCCTGCATTATATCCTATCAGGAAAGCTGGTTTCTCACAGCTCTGACAAACTTGGGATACTATCATCTTAAACTAAAGAGAAAAACAGAAAGATACGTGAAATTTAAAATGAAAACAGGGCTGGAGAGAGAGCTCAGCGATCAAGAGCACTAGCTGCTCTTGCAAACAACACAGGTTCAATTCCCAGCACCCATATGGTGACTAACAACTGTCTGTAACACCAGTTCCAGGAGAATCTACACCCTCTCCTGGCCTCCATGGATATTGCATGCATGGGTGCACTTACATACATGCAGGCAAAACACTCAGAAACATAAAAATAAAATTATTTAACTAAATTCAATGTAAAATAAAAGATGAAAAAACAGCAACAAAAATATATATGCTATTTGTCTTTTGTTTAAAAACCATCTTAGAGAAATAATGGTACCCTTTAAAATGCTCATCTGGGCCAGAGAGAAGGTTCAGGGGGTAAAGGCGCTTGCTGCCAAGCCTAATGACCTGAGTTCAATCCCTGGAACCCACAAAGTATCCTCTGACCTCCACATACATCAAAGCATCTGTGCACCCCACACACATACAAAGTAAGTAAAAACGTAAAATGCTCATCTACTGATTCCATTATTTCTACCAAACAAAATGAAAGTATTTATGCATTTTCTTCCTCTCTGAAACTTATAATTTTTGCAAATAATAGCACTGATTGTTTCTGTATTTCTGCAGCTGTAACATTTGATATATTGTAAGATAATGATGGGCTTCGAGAAGCACCTGTAACTAGTATATAAACATATAAATCACTAAAAAAACTGAGAACCTCAAAGGAATACAAAACAATTAGCTATCACAATATCCATTTTCTACCTCTTTATTTTTTGTTTTGTTTTTCTTTTTGCCGCTGCTGTTGTTTTTGAGAGAGGGTCTCCCTGTAGCCCCAGCTGGCCTGAGTCTCACAGAGCTCCACCTGCTTCTGCCTCCCAAGTGCTGGGATTACAGGAGTGCACCATGCCTGGCTCTGCTATTCCCTCTCTGTGAATGTTCACGCAGTAACTTTTTGCTGGTATCCCTAACACTACTTGTGCTGGATAGCTTTAGTGTAAACTTGACACACCTGGGTTGAAGGAGCCTCAATTGGAGAATTACCTCCATAGGACTGGCCTGTGGCCATGTCTGTGGGGCATCTTCTTGATTGTTGAGTGATATGGGAGGGCCCAGCCCACTGTGGGTGGTGCCACCCCTGGGCAGGTGGGCCTGTGTTGCATAAGAAAGCAGGCTGAACAGGGGCCAGGGGAGCAAGCCAATAAGCAGCATTCCTCCATGCCCTGTGCTCCAGCTCCCTGAGTTCCTACCTTGGGCTCCCAGATGAACTGTGACCTGGGAGATGTAAGATAAAATAAAAACCCTTTCCTCTCCAAGTTAGTATTGGTCAGTGTTTTGTCACAGCAATGGAGAAAGTAGGACACTACCAGGCTAGCATGTACTTACATCAATAATAGCTGCTGCACTGCTGTCTAGATGTTTGTATAGTTCATGTAATACTTCTCTTAGTTTCTTCATTGTTTTCTTATTAGGCTGAAGCAACATTGCTTGGAAGTTCACTGGTAAGCCATACCTTATAAAGAAGCAGAGATACTGTGTGCAACGCAAGCCAGTACATAAATCGTTTTAGAGGAAACATTCTCCTACTACTCTGTAATTACTGTTCATGGACATAGGGTATATAGTTTTAAAGACTCCCTTTACAAGTTCATTACCACCCACAGAAATTTATACCAACATATAACACAACCTCTGAGCCTCACTTCACTGCCAACTAGAAATCTGTCTTTAAAAAAAATAAGCCTTGAGTTGGGCATGATGGTGCTTGCCTTTAATCCCTGAACTTGGGAGGCAGAGGCAGGTGGATCTCTGTAAGATCAATGTCAACCTGGTCTACATAGTGGTCCAGGCCAGCTGTGGCTACAAGGAAACCCTGTCTCAAAAAAGAAAAAACAAACAAAAAAAAACGCCATAGCCAAGTGTGGTGGTGCACACCTTTAGTACAGGAGGCAGAGATGGACCTCTGAATTCCAAGCCAGTCAGGGTTACATACATATTGAGAGGCTAAGTCAGGAGGGCTGCTATAAATTCAAGGCCAGCCTGGGCTACAGAGTGAGACTTAAACAAAATAAATAAATAAATAAATAATAAAAATAAAAACAAAAGAAAAAAAAGCCAATCACTTTTTAGGAAATTTAAAAATAGTGAGCATGGGCTACAGTTAAGTTAGTTCTTAACTCTTTGGATATGAGCAGTATGTACAGAGGACAACTGGGATTTTTGGTATCTTAAAATACTATGATTAGTTAGGTGTGGTGGTACACGCCCTTAATCCCAGTAGTAGGGAGGGAGAGGCCAGTGGATCTCTGTGAGTTCAAGACCAGCCTGTCTACATAATGAGTTCTAGGCCAGCTGGGGCTACAGGGAGACCCTTTCTCAAAAAGACCAAAAATACAACAAAATAAAAACAACAACAAAAAAAACCATGATTAGTATATCATGTACCAAACTACCTGCAAACTATCTGAAATATCTTCCTTTTAAACAAACTTTATTTTATACTCCATCTTGAACTTCTGAACTACAAGTCATGAGCCACACACCAATGCATCTGAATGGGAGACCAAATACTCAATGGTGGTCCTAAGATCATAATGGAGCTGGGAAATTCCTCATCTAGTGGTCTCAGTCATTGTAATACATTCCTTGTGTTTATAACAGTGCTGCAGTAAACAAACCTGGGCTGTCAGTCTTATAAATGCATAGCCCCTACTATGTATGTATCATATGTAACATATGGTAATAATAAATGACGTTACTGGTTAGGTATTTACTATACCATACTTTATTTCATTGGAGTTCAGCCCTTCTAATTAAAAGTTTTAAAAAGGTTACTGTAAGAGGATATGCTGTGTTATGTAGCATCTTGTAGTTACTTATAGACTGCATCAAAATGCCACGTGGTTTTTTAAAAAATGGCCATATGGTGACAGGCATGGGGAACATCTGTTATCCTGGTACTCAGGAAGCTGAGACAGGAGAATCAAAGTCTGAGCCAACCTGGATTAAAAATTGTGTTTGGCAGGGTATGGTGGCACATGCCTCTAATTCCAGCACTTGGGAGGCAGAGGCTGGTAGATCAGGTTGCTGTAAGGCCATCTGGTTTATATAGCAAGTTCCAGAAGTTCCAGGTCAGCTGGAGCTACACAGTGAGAGTTTGTCTAAAAAACAAAACAAAACAAAAAACTAAACAACAACAACAGCGTTCAAAGTCAGTCAGGGAGAGACCATCCCAAACAAAAGATGAGGCCATGTCAAACAACTGACACACACCATTTATGTTTGTATAAGCATGCTATGAAGTTTATGTAACAATAAAATCACTAATTTTTCAGACTTAATCTAAGTAATTGTGTCTTTTTTTTTTTTTTTTTTCGTCTTTTTGAGACAGTGTCTCCCTGTAGCCCCAGCTGACCTGGAACTCACTATGTAGACCAGACTAGCCTTAAACTCACAGAAGCCAGCCAGCCTTTGCCTCCCAAGTGCTGGGATTAAAGATGTGTTTGTTAGTTTTTATCAACTTGACATAAACAGACATTCCTGGGAAGAGAGAATCATAACTGAGGAACTTCTTGCATCAGACTGGCTTATGGGCATGTCTATTGGGCATTTTCTTAATTGCGAATTGATGCAGGAGGGTCCAGTCCATTGTGGGCAGTACCATCCCTAGGCAGATGGGCCTAGGCTATATAAGAAAGGTAACTGAGCAAGGCAAAGGAAGCAACCAGGAAGCAGGATTCCCCACAATCTCTGCTTCAGTTCCTGTCCTGGTCTTCCTAGACAGTAGACTCTAACCTATAAGCCAAATAAACCCTTTCTTCCCCAAATTGCTTTTGGTCAGTGCTTTATGACAGCAACAGAAAGCAAACTAGAACAGCAATGCCTCACTGTTCCTAAGAGCCAGAAAGTATAATGGTGCAGATCTCTTTTTCTAAACCTGGTGATAAAGGACAAGGCATTTAATACATTTAATACACATTTACTATATGCTTGACCCTAACAGTTACTGTGTGACCCTGATAGTTACTGCTTATGACTGGCCCTCTGGTTGCATCAAACCACTTTCATACTGCTGTATTATGTCATGAGAAAGCTACATTTAATTCTTCAGCTCCAAGTTTCTCAACTTAATTCTTTTACCTCAAAACAGATTCGACGAAAACCCTTAATGCTTTTACATGAATCCACGCAATAAATGCCTCACTGAAATTAACTTTCAGCCACCGCACAAGTGGTCCCTTTAAAAAGAAAAAAGAAAATTATCACAAATTTGGTCTTGCAAATGGCAATCAGATAGCTCAAACATTTCTAAAGAAGCAGCTAGCCATATTTTTGAAAGTTATAAATATTATTTTCATTATACTGGTCATTTGATTATCTTTTTCCTATAGCTCTCATCTTTAAAAAAATATATATTTATTTTTATTTTATGTGTATGAGTGTTTTGCCAGCATGTACATAAGTGCATCCATGTTGTACAATGCCCATGGAGACCAGAAGAGAGCCTCAGATCCCCTGGAACTGGAGTTACAGACAACTGTTAGCCACCATGTGGGTACTGGAAACTGAACCCGGGTCCTCTGCAAGACCAGTTGAGTCATTTCTTCAGCTCCTGAACTCATATTTTAGATTAAAAAGTTAGCCACTACTCAGTAACCTTAATACTCTTAAAATGAAGTGAACTAATATGCTAACATTGTAAAAGCATATATTTCATTAAAGTAGCTTAAACTGGAACAAAGTAGAGAGATGCCCTAGGTTTAAAAACTACAAAACGGGCTAGAGAGATGGCTCAGCGGTTAAGAGCACTGACTGCTCTTGCAGAGGACCCAGGTTCGATTCCCTGCACCCACATGGCAGCTACGAACCATCCTTAACTCCAGTTGCAGGGGAATCCAACACCCTCTTCTGACCTCTGCAGCACTGTACAACACAGGTGCACTCACATATATGCAAGCAATACACTCATACATGTAAAATAAAAATAATAAATAAAATAAAAAATAAAAGCTACAAAGCAAAACCTGAACTTAACTATGCAACACTCTTAACACATTTAATGCATTTTTATATATCAGCTTACATTCATGCACCAACCCTGGCTCATATGAACTTGCAGCAATGGTGAGAGCATGCACAAGACCCATGCTGACTCAATCAGACAAAAACCCAGCATAGAACAAGTGAAATGGACAGCAGGCCTCAACCTTAGCCTAGAAACTACTGGCAACTGATTACTGCTGGGTGAGACAGAGTAGATCTTTAAGATCTCTTAGAGAGGCTGACTAGACTCTAGTGGATGAATTTGCACCAAAAGACATCTGGGTACAAATGCTTGACCAGATAGGATTTAACATACATGACAGAATGCATGAAATCTGCATTTTTTGGGGGGGGGCTACAGGGAGGATTGAGTCGGGGGGAGTCTAAATTTGATTAAGAACCATTATATGAAAGGCACAAAAACTCAATAAAAATATTTTTTAAAAAAGTCAAAGACAAAGACAGTCATGTAGACAAGTCATTCATTCCCTGTCCCTAGCTCTCAGTGTTCTACTCTGTGAACTAAAGGGCTGAGCCAAGTCTCTGGAAGCTCTTCATGTTCTAAATTTTCAATGATTCTATTACACAGTATAAGGTTTTATAACTTAAAATGTTTAGCATGATTAAATACTAATTTTAAAAAAGATTTAGGAGGTAGGAATTGGCTAGGCAGTTAGGGTAAAAAGATCCCAAAGAAAAGTAGCCAGTTTCTTGGCTAAAAGTCATAATGTGCTTGGGCCTCTTAGCAACATACTCTGTTCCAAAGGCCAAAAATGTTGAAAAAAAAAAATGCCAAAAGTATTTAGGAGCTCTTATGTAATCCCTAAAAGATTTTAGGGTTACTTCTCCAGTGGGGGGAATGTGAAAGTAGCAAAAAGCCCCATTAAAAAAAAGAGAAAAAAGAAAAAAAAAAGAAAAGAAAGGAATAAAGGAAAGAAGAAAGGAAACACGAAGTTGTCAGAAAAAAGTGATGGGGAGACATGGGAGGTGTTGGAGGGGAGGGAGTGGGCATGGATTTGATCAAAACACCTTACATGCATTAAGAAATTCTCAAGGTTTTTTTAAAAGTTAAAAAAAAAGTTACCCACTCCAACTGCAATGTGCAAGTCCCAATTTGTTATGTGACTGGATATAGCATTGAAGTTATTCATTAGGGGCGGGAGAGATGGCTCAGCCCCAGAGGACCTGAGTTTGGTACCCAACACCCATATGGTGTAGTTCACAATTTCCTGTAACCTTTCCTCCAATATCCAATGCCCTTTTCTGGTCTTTGTGGGCACTTACACACACATGGCATTCACTAACACAGACATAAGCACAAACAAAATAACACATTGCTATCACCTCAATCCTTAACTTAGATAGAATACAAAGCCCAGTGGGATGTGCCAACCAATTAATTTAAGCAAAGAGAACACAACAAAGCAAAAAGTGTTGGTCAAAACATTTGCTCTTGGAGTTGCCCTGGCCAGTGTTTGCCTGTGGGAAGGTAAAATGGATCAGGACAGTGAATAGCTAATAGACGCAAAGGTGAGCTGTGTATGGCCAGGTCAGTGTCAGACTGCTCACTGGGGTGTGAAAAAAACCTGGATTACACTCTGGGGTGTGCTTCCAGGCATGCTTGCTCATACACATGCACCCATGCATGCCTACTTATATATATTTTGGAGACAATGTTTCATGCAGCCAAGGATGACCTTGGATTCCTATCTTCCTGTTCTGCCTCCCCAGTGTTGGTATTATAAGCCTGTACCATCAAAACCCAATTTTTTTTTTTTTCTTAAATGAAGCACTAGGGATTGCAACCATGCTTTGTGCATGCTAGCAAGCACTTTACTAACTGAGCTTATCTCCAGCCCTGATACATTTTCCTAGCACCAAATTAAATGCATGAAATTATAAACTGCTTTTTCATCATTTTTTTTCTCCTGATACTCCCAGGGCTTTCAACAGCTCCAGAATGTATTTTTCCATTTTCCATAAAACTCAAAAGCAAAGCTCTGAAAAATCCACTAAGACGACTGCAAAAGGTGGAGATGGCTTCGTGGGTAAGAGTAGTTGCTGTGTAAGCATGAGGATCTGAGTTTGGATCCCTGAACCCACGAAAGAAAAAAAAGCCAGGTGTGGCTGTGCCTGCCAACCCCTAAGCTGTGGGGAGAGGAGATGGGGGGTAAGTGGTGCTTGTTGGCAGCCTTTAATCCCAACACTCAGGGAGCTGAGATAGGAGGATCCCCAAGAGCTCATACCCCTGGCCTGCACAGCAAGTTCATCCTGGACTACAGTGAACTTTTTCTCAAAAACCAAAACAAAATAAGGGTGAGGGGGCTGGTAAAATGGCTCAAGAGTGAAGAGCACTTGCTGTTCTTGCAGAGGACCTGGGCTTGGTTCCCAGCACCTACATCATGGGGCTCACATCTGTCTGTAACTCCAGTTCCAGGAGATCCGATGCTCTCTTCTGGCCTCAGTGGGCACCTACATACTCAGTGCACATACAGACAAGCAGGCAAACACATATACATGTAAATTAACGAATAAAAATTCTTTAAAAAGAACATTAAATGCACCTTAAATGGAAAACCAGAGTTTTGTCTTTTTTCAAGTCAAAGACAACTAATACTGTGTCTTTGGTATAACACTAAGTAACACATACAAACTGTTTTTTCTTGTCAGTGGAAAGCCTGTTCATTTCCTCTTTATCTGCTTTCATCTCTTCCTCGTTATACTGAAAGTCCCGAACAATGAATCTAATTTGGAGGAAAAGAAAAAAAATTGTCCATACTATACACAGTCAATCTAACAAATTAAAAGAAAACAAACATATAGAAACTTACTTGTTTTCTCTGGCTTTGTGTCTGAAATCATCAACTGCCTTTCTAAACAAGGTGACATTACAAAGGTAGCTGTCTTGGTCCTCTGAGAGAACACTAAAAGGGGGGAAAGTTCATTTAAAGCTCAATACTTACCAAAGAATGCAGAAACAGGAGGAAGAGGAGGCACTGTAAGGGTGGCAGCCCTTCCCAAAGCACCTCCTCGCTCTTCATCCACACTGCCAACAGGAAGGCCAATGGGTCTCTGTGATGGTCCATTCTGATACCTTCACACCCTCTATTACTCTTACTTCTTATGAGACAACAAAATTCAATGGTAACTCAAGGGAAGCATCCATAGTCTAAAGAACAGGCTGTGGTTGCGGCTGTTTAAATTGTCTCTTCTCATCTTAAGAACTAATTCTTCTTCTATCCAGTCTACCCCAGTCAGTCACACCAAGGCCTGGCCCAGCCACTCTGCACAGCCACCACCTCATACCCCAGGTCTTCCAGTTCTCCCATCACACCTTAGTCAGAATTTCAAAAGCAACAGTCTACAACAGCCCCAACTGAATATACTTCTGGGTATCCAGTTGTGAGTTCACAACTTCTAGTCACAGCTCCAGGGATATCACTGCAAAGACTGTTCCAGATACAACTGGCAGATTTTAAATGTCATAGAAATTTGTAATGCCTTGAGGAAATGGCCACTACTTGGAAGGGCAAACTGTACAGCTCATACAATATATAATCTAGCTTCTAAAAAATACCTATTAACTTTTTTTTTTTTTTTTTTTTTTTTTTTTGGCTTTTTGTTGGTTGTTTTTTTTTTTGACAGGGTCTTTCTAGTCACAGCCTACCTAGAAGTCACAATGTGAACCAGGGTGGCCTCAATCTCGAAGAGATCAATCTGCCTCTGCCTCCCGAGGGCTAGGAGGGCTGGGATTAAAGGCACACGCCACCACGCCTGGGGCCCTATTAACTTCTTATGCACAGAATCCTACGTGCAAGGTCTACAAAATTGCAGGTTCAACAGTCAAGACATTGGATGTTACTCAACAGTGAGGCTCTTCTATCTTTCATGACTGGGAATTTCTAATATTTAATTTGTGTCTTTTAACAAACTGAAGCTTACACTTGTGCACAGGGCCACAAGTGTAAAGCCATTACAATACCCAAGGTAATAAATATCTACCCCCTCTAAAAGTGTGTCCTTTGTTGTTTTCTTAACATTTCAGATTTTAAGCTTTATTTTTATCTAGGGCTAGAGAGATGGCTCAGTGGCTAAGAGCACTGGCTGCTCTTCCTAAGGATCCAGGTTTGGTTCCCAGGACACACAGTGCAGTTAACTCCAGTTCTAGGGGATCCAACACCCTCTTCTGGCCACTGCAGGCACTGTATGCATGTGGTGCACTTACATACATGAAGGCAAAAGTAAAATAAAAATAAGTTGTTTTTTTTGTTTTTTGGTTTTTTTTTTTTGTCTTTTTGAGACAGGGTCTCCCTATAGCCCCAGCTCCTGGAACTCTCTATGTAGACCAGGCTGGCCTTGAACTCACAGAGATCCGCCTGCCTCTGCCTCCCGTGCTGGGATTAAAGGCGTGCGCCACCACGCCCGACAAAAATAAGTATTTTTTAAAGATGTGAGTATATGCCTCATGTGTGTGTGGATACCCATAGTAGCCAGAAGAGGGTGCTGGATCTTCTGGAGACGGAGTTACAGGTTGTTGTAAACAGACTGATGTGGGTTCTGGGAACTGAACTTGGATCATCTTGAAGAGCAGTAAGTGCTCTTTAATCCCAGCACTCAAGAGGCAGAGGTGGGCAGATATTTGTGAGATTAAGTCCAGCCTAGTCTACATATCAAGTTCCAGGTCAGCTGAGGCTACAGGGAGACCCTGTCTCAGAACCCACTCCCCCTCCCCCAAGCAAGTTCCATTTTTCTCAGAAGCCTAAAGAACTCCCTCATAGCCAAGTAAATTCAGATGTAACTACAAAGCTGAACTGAAGGCTGCCTTTCAGAACTAAATCTGCCCTGGCTCTTGGCCAGGCAGCTAGCCAGCCACAAGGACCCATCTCCACAGCAAAGGAACAGAAGCAGGGTTTCAAACAACAGCACTAACAGGCAGGTCACAAGGTGAACACGACAGCTGTGTGACAGTGAAGGGCGATCAGAGGCCCAGGTCAGACATGACAGGTGTCTAAGCTGAAAGAACAGCAGTAGGCTGGACGGGGAAGGTAGTTTAAAGCAGAATAAACTCTATGAAAGTAGGACTACTCAACCACTTCTGACTTAGAGAACAGAAATACCACTTAGTTCAACAAAAACCACAAAAGGTAGAGAATGACATGGAGAGGAGTCAAGGTGACCAATGCCATGTTCTGGTCATCTGGCAGACACTGCTGCTACCTTACACTTCAAGAAAATAGACAGCTGAGTCTGAAACTGGGTAAATCATGCTAGCTTCCCAGGGAACACCATGCGGGGGGTTCAGTGGGAATGTGGTGCCTAACACTGAAGCTTTGGGAGAGGATGGGATACCTGTGGGTTTAGGAATCCTCAAACTCCAGCAGGAGCCCCAAAGAACAGACTGTGCCCCTAGGCCAGGCAGCCAATCTGGAGCGGCTGTCAGAAGCTCTGCAGCCCACCCACAATTCGGGCCCAGAAGCCTGCATGCTGCATTACAGGTTAATTTGGGCTATGAGTTTGAGGACTGGCAAGACAGCTTCAGTGAAGACTGGAGTCTAGGCACAGCAAGAGAGCAGAACAATTAAAGGAGATCAGCAAAGTGCAAGTTGGCCTGGAGATGCAAAGGAGTCCAAAAGCAGGTTTAAAGATGGAGCTGGCCTAGTACAGAGCTGGAACTCAGGCTTCAAACTCCAGAGGCAGAGGCTTTCTAGATGCCATAGGTGAGGCAAGAGAAAAGCCTGCAGAAACCAAGCAGAAGTACCAAACAGTGAGCCTGTTGTGGTGAGGCAACACACAACTAACAGATTCAACCAAGGCAAAAACCACTAGTGATCTTGGTTTCACTTGGCACGTGAAAGCAGGAAAAATGAATACCACAAAGAAAACAGGTTAAAAATAAAAGTCACATCTCTTTTAAAAAAAGATTTGTTTACACCAGGCATGGTGGTGCACACCTTTAATCTCAGCACTCGGGGCAGAAGCAGGCAGATCTCTGTGAGTTCAAGGCCAGTCTAGTCTATACACAGTGAGTTCCAGGCCAGCCAGAGCTATACAGTTGAGACTGTCTCAAAAAACAACAACAAAAATTCATTCTTTACACTTACTTTTGTGTGTGTATACAAAGTGCATATGTAGAAATCAAAGGGCAACTTGTAGGAATCGATTCTTTCCTTCCATCATGTGGGTCCCAGAGATCAAATGGAGGTTGCCAGACTCAACGGCAAACACCTTTACCCACTGAGTCATCCTGCTGGCCCAAGTCACATACCTTCATGGTTAACACAGATTTGAACTCTCTCCATTAGCCAGAACTATGGCTGCCAAGAGGTTTAGTTTAACTTAGCTTATAAAATAGGGGCTGGAGAGATGGCTCAGTGGTTAAGAGCACTTACTGCTCTTCCAGGGGACCCTGGTTCCAGAACCCACATGGCAGCTAGTTCCAGGGGATATCCCACATCTTCTGGCCTCCACAGGCACTGCATCCATGTGGTGTACGTATATACACACAGGCAAAAAACTCATACACATAAGATTTAAATAAATGAAAAAAAATTAAAAAATTTTTTTAAAGAGCTACCAGGGGCAAATAAATGAGGCAACTGTTAGGTCCTCATGTAGATGTCACCAGGCCTAAAGGAAACTAGGGTTCCACTGCTTATGAATGTTGGCTGGACACGTTACGCATTTTCAGTGACCTCCCCCCCACCACCAAATGGGAAGCAGTGCTTTCTGGAGCCTTTCTGATTTCTTACCTCCCTAAGGCTTGGACCAGCCAAGTTCCCTGCTCCCGAATCAACTACCTGGTTCTTCCCAGGCCATGCTTCATATAAACCACCTTCGAAAACCTGCCCTGAAACACAAGACAGCTCCACACAATGACTAGTACAAATCTCTCTGCGCTTCCCAGCTGCTCTGCAACTATACCATACTAAAGAAATCCTGTGAAGCCCTAGCAAGTGGCTTCTAAGGACAGAAGAAAGGGGTTAACCAGGGAACTGACCCAATCTGACCCTTTTTTTCTTTCTTTCTGGTGCTAGTAATTGAACCGAAGGCTTCCTAAATGCTAGGCAAGTGTTCTACACCCCTAGCTTCCAAAAGGAAAAGGAAACATAAAAGGAAAAGTGGTAATTCTGAAAATATAAATGAAAAACCACCTCTCCTGAACATGTTCTATAAAAGGCAGCAGAACTGCAGAGCTCTTTCTGGCTACAACTTTACATGCACCTATCTACATCCCTATATTCAACAGTATTTCAAATGATCCAGTATTTTAAGACTTATATTGAGTATCTTTCCACTAGATTTTGTCTATTTATTTTTTTTTTCGGGTATGAATCTTTTGTCTGCATACGTTAAGTTTACCTGTATTGTACAATGCCTGGAGAGACTAGAAGAGAACATGGTATTCCCTGGAACACGGCTGTTAGTCACCACCATGTAGGTGTTGGGATCTGAACCTAGATCGTCTGCAAGAGCAGCCAGTGCTCCTATCTGCTAAGTCCAGAGTTAGTGTATTTTTAACATGAAACCAAAGGGCAAGATGGCTTAGCAAGTAAAAGCCTGATGACCAAGAACCTACCTAATGGGAGGAGCAAACTGACCCCTGACAAGCAGTCCACAGACTTCTACAGGTATGCACAAGCACGTGCGTGCACACACACACATACACACACACAAAATAAAAATGAATTTTTTAAAATAGAAAGCTGGGCATGGTGGTGTACATCTGTAATGCCAGCATTCAGAAGGCAGAAACCACAGCAGGATGATTTCGAGGTCAAGACCACCGTAGACAAGACTCTGTTTTCCCCACCCCCCCAGAAAACTGTTGGGTTTAAGGACGATTTATTTTTTTATTAAAAAGAAAGGCTGCTCTGCTTCCCTCGGCCTGCACCACCGGCTAACTCTCCTAGCCTGCACTACTATC